TTCCCAATTGTGAACTTTCCATTTCTATGTAGCAACATTCTAGCATCGCCTGCATACGGAGTATATATCTCCAAGTTGATACGATTTTCCAGGGCTATTGTTACCTATCATGATTTCCTTGATAGAGGGTTGCTGCTCACAAGGAAGCTATTAAAGCAAGAGTTCCAAGTAGTGAAGTTGAAATCATCCCTTCCTAAATTTTACGAACGCCATCACGAGTTGGTTGACCGTTATGGAATATCTGTTTCACAGATGACGACAGATATGACCCAATTGTTGTAACTACAATCTCGTCCCCTTTCCCCCGAATGTGACCTACAGAATTAAGCATATCACCGGGTTTGTACTTACATTAGCAACACGACGGGTGCCACATGTGGAGCAGGATCTGCTTACCCTTCCGGAGCACTTGGTGGGTTTCGTGTTGCTCAGTCTTTGGTTTTCTATGTTCACTTGTTTTGTGTACTGTTGTTTGTCTGTTTGTGTTTTTCTTTTTTAGCCATGGCTTTGTCAGTTTATTTACGACTTATGAGTTTGAATGTCCCTTTGGTATCCTTCGCCGCCTCTCTTTTTTTAAACAATTCAAAGGAGAAAAACTAACGGTTTGATTTATGTACAAAGCAATTAACGAAAAACAAATATGATATACAGCAACAAACGACAACCACTGAATAACAGGCTCCTCACTTGAGACAAGCACATGACAAATCGATACAAGCACAAAAAAAAACACACAAAAGACACAAGGTACAGATCTGAGAGTACTCGCAGTTACTGTAAGCTAGTTCAAAGCGTATAACAACAAATCATGTATCTAAGACTAAAATATGAATCAGTTCACATCCAACATCAATTAGCCTGTTTACTGAATATCGACTTTAATCAAACTTTGAATTGAATGTTTAAATGTTGTAATGATGCACTTATATTATCATTTATTCAGTAATGTCCAAAGTCGTATGTATCAATTGTATTCAACTAGATTGATTGATTGATTGATTGATTGGTGTTAACCGCTACTTTTAGCACTAATGTGCTATTTCGTGGCGGTCAGTTTTTATTGGCGGAGGAAGCTGGAGTGTTCAGAGAGAACTACCGACCTTAAGTAGGAAAACTGACAATCCTAGTCATTTAAGATTGGAGTCGAGCGCACCTGTATTCGTCCATACCAATTTTAAACAAATTAAGTCGTCTCACAGGCCTCCAGATTTTTTTGAAAATTTAGTGTTCAGCCCAAGAACCGGTTTGGCCACAACATAACAATTTCAAGTTTATTTACAATTTACACAGTGTGTATATGTTAAGTATGTTTAAATGAACATATGTTCTCATAGTTTAGGACCTTACTCATTATAGGTTGAAAAATACAGGCAAAGTTTAGATGTTTATGAAGTGTCCTATATTTTGACTTTAGTGGAACCTTAAATGCATTTTTTGTTTCGGAAAGATAAAATCTTTTTTGGATTTTGATGGGCTTTTTTTTTTCGTTCCTGCAGAAGGTGTAAAATAAACTAAGTTGGGATACATCTTTGAGATCCTCCCTCTCAGGTAACAAGTGTATTGTATTGTATTGATTGTCCTTGATTAACATGGACAATAGAAAGATAATATATATTTGCACAACTATAGGGTGTAACTGATTGGACAGTATCAAATGTAATTCAGGTGTTTGTTTATTTTTACACCAACAGCAGGAACGAAAAAAAAAAAACCCCTGAGGTGTAAATACAGCCATTTTTGTCCATTTGTTATGATGAACCTTAAAAACAATCATGTTTAGTTACCAATCAATAGACTCAAATAAATACAACTTGAACAGAAAAGAATCTGTATGTTGTTAGGGAGCGACCATTTGATTTTTATGGGGGGGGGGGGGGGGGGGGGCTAGGATGAAAAATTTTGTCCTGCCTATTTAATTTTCCCTCCTTTTGGTCCTGCCTTGTTTTTTCACTCTATTCGGTCCTGCTTTTTTTTTTTAGTTTATCCTTTATCCTGACTTTTTTTTTTACATAAATTGTCATCCTGCCCTTTTTTTGGCAAATAATCTCATCCTGCCTTTTTTTTTTACTCCAAACTCATCCTAGCCCTTATGCACAATATAATGTATGAATATTATAATATAAAAGGATTTTAATTCATTATCTTTAAGTTTAACGACGAGACATTGGTATGACAACTTTAATGGGCTTATGTGACTTTTTCGGCTAAAATATTCATGTTTTTAAATGAAAATACTTATATACTAAGGACAAGGACATTAAGTGCTTTATTTTGGTAAACAATATGGTACACGAACAAGGGGAAAATCCCTTGTATTTATATCACTGACACAGTCATTGAATTTTTGTAACTTCAGCTTACTGCATCTTCAATAGATTAAGTGTACTTTCAAATTTAGTTCACATTATGTCATATTTCTTGATAAATTATCAAGTCATTTATTGTCTGAATCTTTACTGCAAAATATTGATGATAACTTTTGACAAATTTCAAGTATTTGCCTTAAAACTAAATAGAAAGGACATCCTAAACCGAAACCTAATTCTGATCGAAGGTAATTTAAAAACTGTTAAGTGTCTTTATGATGCAACTAGACTCCCGTCATACAACTTGATTTTTTTTTGTTCAGAGTGTGCTTCATTGTCCAATTTAAAGGAGGACCAGAATGCAAAATTTCCCAAAAGTTCTAAGTATAGATATCAGTGAGATTTATATTTATTTTTGAACCATTCTCAATGGATTTTTTTTAATGACGGGTGCCGCATGTGCAGCATGATCTGTTTACCCTCCCAGACCACCTGAGATCACCCCCATTTTTTGTGGGGTTCGTGTTGCTCAGTCTTTAGTTTTCTATGTTGTGCTTTGTATTCTGTTGTTTGTCTTTTGATCGTTTTTCTTTTTTTTTGTTGGATTTGTCAGTTTGGCTTCGGTTTGTGTGTTTGAATATTGCTTTGGTATCTTCTTCCTTTTTCATTAACCGCTTATGTGTTCTCCTTGCACATATTGCCTTCCTAAATGACGCCTCGCCAATTACCTGTTACGCAAGTTTGAGTAGGTTTATTATCTCCCGTTATTTTCCCCTAGCGGGCAGATTGAATGTGTAAACATGCAATTTATTAATTATGAACTATGCTAGCTGTGTCGACAGATTAACATATCCCATGTGTTTTATTTGTTTACAACTAGTCCATGAAAAAATATGTCCTTGTTTTAGGAGATTGAAATCATTCACAAAACATTACTATTCATAATCTATAAACATATAGATAGTATTGAATATGATGTTCATGTTGATACTTTGTCTGTATAGCAATTCGATAAATAATCATCATATTAGATCCCTGATTTTTAAAACTCTACCTTTATTTTAATATCCATTTTTTCATTTTTAAATATATCTTCATTACTTTTAATATGTACCACGTGTAGTTTTTCTTGCAACGACAGCCATTTTGTGCAGACACAGCTTAAGTATGTAATGAGTAGAAATAACACTTTATACAGTTAGTGCGTTCGAAGTGCTTTTCTTTAATTACCATAACCAGGAACGCTCATTTCTCTAAAACTGAAAGCCAGGGATTCACAAATCCTTGAAGACCTAAATGACCAAAAGGACCAAATAGGAATAACCCGATTAACTTAGGGTCAACTTTTCTATCAATCAAACATTAATACCGGGTTTGTAATAACATGAGCAACACGACAGGTGCCACATGTGGAGCAGGATCTGCTTACCCTTCCGGAGCACCTGAGATCACCCTTAGTTTTTGGTGGGGTTCGTGTTGCTCAGACTTAATTTTTCTATGTTGTGTTTTGTGTACCATTGTTTGTCTATTGGTCTTTTTTCTTTTTTAGCCATGGCGTTGTCTGTTTATTTTCGACATATGCGTTTGAATGTCCCTCTGGTATCTTTCGCCCTTCTTTTTATGCCCCAACCGTCATCCAATCTTATCAAGTTTTCGGGTATCTGGTGTTTGAAGGATTTGCTCGCAAAAATGATTGACTCGAAAATATTTAGCACTTTACTTAATTTGTGGTCGTTTTATCAGTTGCTGAAATCATATGATGACCTCTAAATTTTGTTTCCTTTCTTTTGATAGGTTGTTGTTACCGATTCGTTAATCGTATACCTACATGTATTCTTATTCCTAATCATTAAAATCTTCCGGTTTGAAAGATAATAGTAATTTAAAATTTTACTTGGCATTTTTAAAGACAACATCTTTTGCTCACAACCTGAAATGATCGACCATATGCCAAACTTTTGAGTACTTTGCTAATTTGCAGAGCGGTTATATTGCCATATAATGACGACAGCTCTTACAATAGGATTGCACCTGCCCTTAAAAATGAATATGCAAATATGCAAATTCGTAAGTCACATCATCAATGTGTGCCTCCTCTTCGTGAACAAATGGACATTGTCTACTGTGAAAACTATCTGCCTTTTCAGTTAAAAAATCAGAATCAAAACCGTAGTGTTATTGCTATATAAAAAAACGAAATTTCGTAAAAAAATCCAGATTCAAAATAGAAATGAAGATACGAGAATACACCTATATAGTAGGTTTGATTCTTATGGTAAATAACTTTTATCTCACCTGTTTTCTTGAATTTTCGGCATTATTCTTTTAAACACGATGATTTCAACCTCCCAACTTCGTAAATAGTCAAGTTTAAGCATTTTTTTTTTTAGAATTACACAACATATTTTTAAATATCCGCCAGAAAAAGTTTTGAAAGACTTGTTAATTTAAGATTCGACGGGAAAAGGCTACTGTAGATTATCTGCAAATTTGATATAATATATATTTTTCAATCATCAACAAAGGGAAGTGATTGAACCAAAAGGGCCAAAATCACGTGGTTCAAATCATATTTAAAAAGTACCTAGGATTTTGATATACTTGTATACAAAACAAAATATCAGGTTTAGAAAGAAAGCTTTTTAAAAGTGCTGTAGTATGCTTTTATTAATATAATTAGTATATTTTTTAAAGGTCAGCTAGAAGTACATAGTTTTGGAACAGCGTATCAAGAAAATGGCGAGCATCTTATGACACAAAAACAATATTTGCCTTATGATGTGAGTGAGTTTCCGTTACAAAACTGGGCAGAAAGTACGAGTCGACAAAGATTAACACCTAAAGATTCAAGAGATAGACGATTAAAACAACAAACTAAGTCGAGGTTTACATTATTAGGATATGTACCGCTGTCTTTTTCAGATAATCCACAAGAAGAACCACGACAACAACATAAAGTAAAACGATCTACTGACGGTCTATTAAAAGCAAAGACAATCGTAACAGGGTCTTTGAACACGGGTAATTTAAATGCAGTTTCCATAACAGCAGATCGCATTGTAGGTGATACTGTGATAACAAAAAGTATCGATGTGAGATCCAAAAAAAACAACAGACTTGTTGAAAGAAGGTCGTTTGAAGGTGCACAAGGTAACCACAAGACAAGAACACGACCAACATCTTCAATGAGATCTTCTTATAAAGCATCAGAGTTAAGGGACAACATCGGACTAGATCACAATCAAGTTGACAACAGTAACCTTCAATTGCCGTCAAATGATAAAATGGAATCATTGATATTGCAACCTTTACCACCAAAACGAAATTCAAGGAGAAGATACCAGCCAAACTTTTCCACTAGATCTAGGAATAAAGGAGAAAGAAGAAGACGACCTTATCGGACACACACAGAGTCGATTGGCAAAGATGGAACAGATCAAAATAACCGTGCCGGCAGTAACTTTCAATTGATGTCAAATGATAAATTGACATCATTAATATTGCAACCCTTACCACCAAAACGAGGTTCAAGGAAAAGGGACAGGCCAACCTTTTCCACTAAATCTAGGACTAAAGGAAAAAGGAGAAGACGACTTCCTCAGGCACCCTCAGAGATGATTGGCAACGATGGAATTAAACATGCTGACAGCAACTTTCAAGTGCCGTCAAATAGGAAAAGCGAATCGATTTTATTCCCACCCCTTAAAACACAACACGATTCAATGATGTACGAACAACCAACCACTTCAACTAGATCTTTGTCAAAAACGACAAGGAAAAGACGACCTCCCCAGACATCCTCATATTTAACAGGTGGCAACATCGGAATTGAACACAATGAACAGGCTGATGAAAACTTTCAATTTTCAAATGGTAAAAGTGAACCACTGATATTGCAACAAGATTCAACGATAAATGACCAACATACCTCTTCCACTAGACCTGTGATAAAAACAAAACTCAGTCCGTTGATAGAAGGATTAAATGGTAAAAAATACCCTGAACAAAGAAGATTTCATGGTGCGGGAACAGACAAAACGGGACGCCCATCAGTTATTCGCAATTCTGGTCGCAACAGTAGGCGAAAATCTGGACGAAAATCTGGACGAAAATCTCGACTAACTAGAGTTCTAAGTGAGAACTTGTCAGGAAATCCTTCTGATAATAATGACAGACAACCATCATATAGAACGGTTGATGCTATTCAAAGTGGTGATACTTTCGTAAATCCTAGACGTTCAAAAAAGCGATATAGATCAACGGATCCTCCGTTAGACTTTGTTGAACAAAATGAGATTACAAAACAAAACATGAATGGACTTTTGGAGGCCAAAACAATTTCTTCTGGGTCAATCAAAACTGTTCATATGCGAGCTGAAGAGGTAAATGCTGATAAAATAAAAAGTCAAACTATAAATGCTAAAACTTTGACGGTACAACCAAAGCGTCCTGTAAATTTGGCACTATATGAATCTAAATCTGTTTCTGGGAAGCAAACCAATACATTTATTAAGCCAAAAAGTCCTACTTATGAAATAGCTAATCCAATTTTAAATGTTAGACCAGAAAAAAACATAATGCAAACACCAAAGTTTATTCGAAACAGATATAAAAAACGCTTAGGTCGTCAAAGGTTAAATATTGATAGACACCCGACGGCACCAGAAAGTTTAATTAATCTAGAGATGCTAGGAATAACCCGTACCGGGCAATTCGCACCAGAACGTAAGATGGTCATAGAACCGGCAGTTACAAAAGAAAAGATCAGGAACTGGGATAAGAAGAAGAATATTAATAGTAATTCTGCAAACTTACGACGAAGTAGTCCTACAGAATACGTAGGCGACAATTATAAATCTTTTCGCAAATATTCCAATGTATTTAATGATTCATTTATGTTTTAAAAAGAATTGCATTTAAAAGTTGTTTTTGGTTTATCTAGACCAAATTTAAATTTATAAACCATATCATGACAAATTCTTAAACAAATTGAAAAGTGTTGTTCCATGCACATTTCCTTATGTATGTGACCGCAATTTTTTTCAATAATATATAGTATGGATATGCGTCGTTGTCATTATCTATTTTTAGACACGATGTGTATGTATTGATTTCCGTTAAAGATGGCTACCATCTGACATATTTGATTTAATATATATGGCTTGGGGATAACAACCTCGATTTTCAAATTATCATTTTAGTCTGATTTTTCTGTATAAAAATTTTGTCTGCATATTTCAATTTTGTGGTAGCCCTCTCGAAAACCGAGCTATAGTTAAAACATCAAAGAGACCAACACTCATACTTTTATACGACGCATAAAATTTTAAATTTTCATAAAATTTGAAAGAAATGTTTTTGTCAATGACTTTCAGTTTTCGGGAACACCCTTTCGTCTATCATTTGCTGTTTCAAAGCCTTAACTCGGCATTACTGGAGACATTTATAGTCGAAACGCGCATCTGGTGCAGTAAAATTGGTACCGTTTATATTATCTAACCATTTTCGATAAAAAATGATAAAATAAGAATTTCAAATTTCATTAAACTACATAAAATAATTTCCATTTTATAGTATAATGATAGTGATTAAATTTTCTTTTATGTTTTCAATCCAATCTAATTTTTTCTTTGATTTTGGATGGCTCAACGATTTAGAACAATTTTTAAAATGCCAGAAAATCACACTTTAACATGAAACATTCAATTTTTAGATTTCCTTCAGTGATGATTTTATTTAATCATTCCATTATCATTTTCAAGAAATTGCTGTAATATGCTTAACGTACTTTGTTAAGCTCTTATAGTTTGAGTTTTGTTGGAACTAATTATGGTTTTGTGTGCTAAAACCGAACAATGTTTTTCACGGTTTTATATGTTACACCTTGGTAGATTATACCTGCGTCCTACATGTTATTGTGCCAAGCACAATACTGTGTCCAAAGTAGTTTTTAGTATATACTTATTGCAATTTTGTTGTCCATGATAGGTTATTGTATCTTAATGAGATCAGTGTAGCCCTCTATCATGATAACTTGATAACATGATAAAATTAGGTCAGAAAATATGTCTAGGAAAAATATATTTAAAAAATATTTTGATATTAGATTTCTTAAGTTCAAAGTGAATGTTACTATTTTTCACTTTTTCTTCAATTTTTGTTGTAGGTGATCCTATGTGTGTTGTTACTGTTTTACAAACTATATTTCAGAACATTATTGAACATAATGTATACGTTCATTAAAAAATATAACATTTTATTTGTTCTGAAATATAAGTACAATGATACGGTGACACATGTATGATAATTGTATCAATAAATTGAAATTAATGTACACCTTTTATTGAAAACAATATATTTTCGTCAGACCACTTGGTTGTTACATTTAAAGGTTGCTTATTTAAATAGTAAATGTAATTGTAATAACCAATATGTTATTGTTTAATTTATTTTTATCTGTTCGGAAATTAAATAAGTATATGTTTCATATTACTACCGTTACTTTGATTTTTTAAGAAGAAACCACCCCATCTTTTTTACCTTAAGACATGTTTTTGTATCTGCATTTACGTACAGCATTAAAGATTTTTTATCACGACAAAGAAATAATATTTACTTGATTGAGATATTGTTAAATTGTATCTAGAGTGCTGATAAGATCAAATTTAAATTAGTTACTTAATTAATTTTTGTTGTTTTTGACTTGAATAAAAGGTTTATATACCATTAAACAAGTTTTGTATATGAATTTATTGAATTTATGAAAATGATGATTTTTTTGTATGACGAAATAGAAATATTATAATTTTGAGACAATATTGCATGAAACTAGGATGCTGAAAAATTCAATTTATATTTGTTTCTATTTTACTATATTTATTTTGATTGTTAACATTTGGAATAAAAGGTCTTTCTCTAAACTAAACGAGTTTTCATATCTGTAATAACGAAATGTGTGAGCATAAAGATTTTTCTGCGATGGGGGATCATACCATTAAAGTATAAATAAATGTTAAGATACTGAAAATCACATCTAAGCTGCATGGACATAGAATTTGAATTTCTTCCCATTTACTACTGTTATTGATATTTAGGACTTGGTGGATAACAATTTTTTTTGTGTCTGAATCTTACATTATGATCATTGACTTTTAACTACATGGAAATATCAGGCACGGATCCAGAATTTAGTGGAAGGGTAGGGCGACCCAGTGCTGTAAAAATGAAAATAAAACTTTATACATTCCACGCGTCCGAAGTGTTTTTCTGTATTACAGTATAGGAATATTGATTTAATAAAACAAGAAGTATCTAATTTATTTTTACAATATTTATATGCATTTTTTTAGAATATTTCCCAAATGAAAGTCCTAATACAGAGCTTTTTTTTATCTCATTCTAAACAACTTGATTTCAAAAATCAACAATACTTTATTTTGAGAGGACTACGCAGTTAGTTGTACAAATAATATTCCTTGAAGCCCCTATTATAGAAAACCAATATATTTGTTAAAAAAATAAAATAATGGAGATATGTTCATGACATATATAAGTATAAAAGTCAGAAGTATAATGTTCAATACACTTTCATAAAAAAAGTTATTAACTAATATCCATCAGTGTTATTAATTTGTTGACTTCAATAAGTGATCCCCCCTCCCCCCTACATATTATAGTGTGTGATAAGATTTTGTGAGGGAATTCGATGTTTGCTTTACCATGGTTCACTTAAAAAAGACACTATACCTACTGTGTTCCTTATCTGAATGCATTTAAAGTATAATCATATTCTATGCATCTGAAAACAGGTTAATTTCTTTTAAAACACACGTGTGCTTCAATTGACCATCAAACTGTACACTGGAGGAGTTCATGATACTTTTATGAATGAAACAATAGGTATGAAAGGTTTGATTTTGCAATTCTTATTATTTTACGAAATTTTCGTAATACAGTGAAATTGTACAATAATGAAATGGCGCGTAGTTTAGAAATTTGAGAAACTTTACAGATCATGCGTTTTTATTCTTTGAACACATATATTATTTTGAAGAAAAACATTGAAATATATTTTACGCACGTCTACGCAAGGTAAAAAGCTTGCGTGTTTTAACAAAAAGTAGCATTTTTCAGTCTCATTAAGCTGTTATCAGTCCAATTTAATCCAAACGAAAGCAGTGAGTTAATGAAGAAAAAATATATAAGCCATATTTGAAAATCTTATAAAATCCTTGTTATTTTTTCAATGTTTTTGAAAGAAAAAAGGTGCCAATGTTAAATGTATTAAAAATCTAGAGAGAATCATTTCCCGCCAAATTTTCCACGGCTTATATCTCGAAAACAAGCACACGGACCCTTCATTTTTTTCTGCTTTTTTAGTTCCTTTATTTATATACTATCAATTTATGACAGTCTTTCAGAAAGCTTGTTATTTTGAAACAGAGTAGCGAACATCCTTAAATGCAAACAAAAGTATATTACTGTCAGTAGAAAGTAATGCTGATATGAATTACTTATATAGAGGTGTGTATATAAGTTTATGTCAAAATACTTTATCGGTTATGTCCAAAATATATATGCAATTGTTTCTGACATGATTACGTCTGTTGACACATCAGCTTGAACTTGAACTTGTAAAACTACTACCATACAAAATAGGCACGTACCACCTATGAACTTTTTATAAATAACTTGATAATTACACACTAAACATTCACGATGTCTGAAGGCAACGTATATGTATACGGATTAATCAAACTTCGTCTCTGGATATTAAATTTTCAGGATTCAATATTGAATTTATTTGTCAAGGAATAGAAATAGTGAACTATGATGCCCACCGAGCAATTCTTTCCTGTATTGTGCTGACTACAACCAAAATTACTAGACAATAAATTGTTGTTCCCTTTTCTATTGAATTGACAACAACTATCGATCTCAATGTTTCTGATATCGGTAAAGCATGCAAACATGTGACGTGTATAAATTCGGTTTTTTGTATATTTTCATAGCTCAGCCTTCCTCTTTCTCAATGGGTTATCCAAAGAGAGCGTGCAAAAAACCTTTAATACGGAAAAAGATAAAACTACACGTTGATGAAAACATCTTGTCAACCCATAGACAACCTTTAAAAAAATCATTGTGCGTTTATTAACTGCTTTGAACTAACTGGTGTCTGATTTCTTTACTTTAATTCATTTCAATTCAAACTTATAAATCAACTTATATGATTTGTGACTAAAACAAATAAAACATATTAGTATAATCATAATAAACAAACTAATTAAAACATATATATAGCATAATAGTTCATAAGTCAATTATGAGTCCCCTACCCTTAATTCTAATGACTACTTTATAAAGGAAACTATGCTTTATACCTGTTTTGTGTTGATGGGTAGAGAAAAAATTTCATTTTAAAAGCATCATTTAGGTCATAAAATTTTTAATACAATTTGCATCAATAAAGCTTGTCTTATGGTTGAGTTTTTTCCTGCAATACAAAAGAAAATGTGCTCATCCTCAATTATATTGCAGGGCTGACTCAACTGGTTTTTCCCTGGATAGTTTTAGGTGTTCCCCTTTTTCAATCAGTAAATTATGATTTCTTAATCTAAACTTGGTAAAATTTCGTCTATTTTCGAATATATTAGAATTCAAATATGCTTCTATTTCAGTGATCATTTTGTTGAAGAGCTTTATATACAAGAAGTTAACTACTATTATCCACTGCTTAAACTTGTCCTTGAAAGCATCAAAAGATTTCTAGGAAAGACGATTCGGTCTTATTTATATATATTTTTTTACTTATGGTCAAGTTAAATTGTAGCAAAGTTACTTTGTTTGAAGCAGGAATGTCTTCAACTAACTTTGTGACGTAAATAAAAATGGTATTTTATAATTCCGTGCGTTCAAAGCGCATTTCTTTATTTATCACAAGGAAGTAGTGATATCAACTCGGCGAAGAATTACTAATCGAATACCCGGTGGCTTAACCGAGAGGTACTCGAGTACTCGCTCGGAAAATATCTACAAAATAGAAATACAAAATTATACCCATTTTGCATATTGTGTGTCGTTGTCTGATAGACGTAAAACCATTATCATCTAGGACTAGATAATAGCCCAAGGAATTTTATACTATAATGTATAGCTTATTTACTACATGTACTAATTATGTTAAGAATAATCTAATCTATTATTTGATAAACACCTATTTAAAAATTATTATTCACTCAAATCAGATCAAACAACAGAATGCTCGAGTACTCGTTGACACCCCTGAAAGGAACGCAAAAACCTTAACATTTGAAAACCAGGGATGTACAAAAAAACTCACAAAAGATAACAGGTTTATAATTGTGCAGGCCGGAAGTCTCATTAGTGGCGCTCGAATTAAAAACGTTGGAATGCCAAATCAAATCAAAGTTGTAGAGCTTTTAAAACCGAAACTTCAAAAGTTATGTCAAATACGTCTATGACAATATATACCTTTTACATAAAATGAACATATCAATGATATGTCATGTCAACAGAAATGTGCAGACTACTTGGCTGGTGATACCTTCGAGGACGAAAAGTCCACCAGAAGTGGCATGGCCCGGACCCAATAATTGCAAAATGCGTACATAAATAATTAAAATCTTTAGGACTAATGCCTGGTGAAGTTAGAACCTTAGTCTCAAACTCTTTTCAAAACTATTATGATATAAGTGGAGCGTCACTGATGAGTCTTTTTTAGACAAAAAGCTCGTCTGGCGTACAAAATTATAAGTTTGGTATCTTTAGTTTTTTAAAACTTTCTGACCAATAGATACCCTTTCAAGTCCTCATCAGATCAGTATCGTACCGCCAAATCTGATCTATATTGTTTGGAAACTAGTATGGCAAATTAAATACTTGTATTTGGTCAAGTTTATAATAGCATCATTTCATATCACCAGGTTAGGAACTATAAGTTTGCTTTCAGCTATCAACATATTTCTTTTTTACGATATCGTTTGTTATTGTTTTGATTGTACAAACTCATTGAAAATACCAGGCTTATAATTGTGTACGACAGACGCACGTTTCTTCCATACCAGATTCATTAGGGAACGACCATTTAACTTCAAGGTTTTTTTCCTAAAAAAAAATCTGATCCCCAATTTGATGAAAAAAAATATTGTGGTCAAGCAAACGACAAAAAAAATATTCTGAATCCAGATTTTCCCCATACCTTATAGTGTTAAATTTTGAAAACAATAATTAGATTGATAGCGTCGAAAAACTAAAAAAAAAATCTGACTCAGACAAAAAAACCATACCCCCCCCCCCCCCCCCCCCCCCCCTTTTGGAGTTAAATGGTTGTTCCCTTAGTGGCGCTGGAATCAAAACAGTTTGAAGGATAAATCAAAAAAGATGTTGAATAGCATTAAATACCGTGTTTTACATGAGCTTTATTTGTCTATTACACCGGTTTATATATAGAGTTATGTGCATTTCCTGTATTTCTGTTCCTAAGGTTCCATTGATTGGTATTATATAAAGAAGGTGGACTGAGTTCTTAAAAAATCATTTAACCTCGTCTCTTTTTCATGTGCCTGTCAAACGTTGATAATCTTGTTTAGTGAATATAGTATTATTAGCGAATATGGTATTACTTGAAGATCTTTGTTTGTGTTTGTTTTAAACTTTTCTAGATCGGGGCGTTTTATGTTTTATTGCTTAATTCATAGACACTTGTTGTTAAAAACTGTATGTCGACCTCTAGATTACTATTGGGTGATCTCTTTGCGTTGACGTGAAAAATTGTAAATGAAAATTAACATATTTCACAAAAAACGTCATCCTGCATTTTAGCGTGGGTTAAAAAAAATAGAGGCGGAGGATACCAAAGGGACATTCAAACTCAAAAGAGAAAATAAACTAACAACGCCATGACTACAAAAGAAAAAGACAAATAGACAAACAACAGTACACAAAATACAACATAGAAAACCAAAGACTGAGCAACACGAACCCCACCAAAAACTTGGGAGATCTCACAGGTGCCCCGGAAGGGTAATCAGATAAGTTTAAGGTAATAAATAAAAGGAGATATTGAGTGTACGTCAATCAGACAAAAAAAAACAGAAAACGAAAAGGCACCTACAGGGCAACAAACCAGTTTCAACAATAGACAAATGTCCAACAATATGTAAATCTCTAAATCGTCCCGAGTCAATAAAAGATGTGAAAAAAAAGGCAAAATGAATTTTGAAATCGATATCAACTATATACAAGTACAGTATAAAAAAAAAGCTTGCTGTTCGTTGTGAGCCAAGGCTCCGTGTTGATGGCCGTACTTTGACCTATAATGGTTTACTTTTACAAATTGTGACTTGGATGGAGAGTTGTCTCATTGGAACGCATACCACATCTTCTTATATCTATATAATCAAAAATATTAAATAAAACAAATACGGTAATGCTAATGCGCACTCCAAGAACATCGATAAGATTAAAAAAATAAAGCAATTAAGAAGACTCGTGGCATAAATTGAATTTTAGTCACAAATAAACTCACATTTATTTATTTTCAGACGTTGCTTTACTGCAACTTTGAATGCGTCCTGGTCATGTATTGATTTTATATCACTAGGAAGCGCATTCCAATCCTTAAAAGTATTATAAATGAAAAAAGAGGTTGCGTCCACTCTATTAGCTGTAAGAACAACACAATTGAATTTGCGTGATCCAGTGTTATATCCGTGTTGTTCTTCGACATTTCTTAATTTTCTTTTAAATATGCGTGTTCTCATGTTAATTGCTTCACTCTATTTTCAATTTAAAAAAAAACCAACACTTGATAGTTCCGGTTGGCGGACAATAGACCTTGGATCAAGATTTTTTTAGGAATCTAAGTTTTGTTTATTTGGCAATTTGAATTTTATGTTTTCGAGTCTATGATACTCCGGCATACCACGAAAAACAGCAAAAGTTAAAGTGACAGTGGATAAGAGCCATAGCTTGCTTTACGATACATATATTTTAATCTAAAATTTACCTTTTTGATAATTGAGTTCACTGTATTTGCACCTGTATTTTCACCTGTTTTGATGTATGTCTAATCCTGAATATCAAAATGTTTGCTGTGATTCAACAATGTGATCATTAAATTGTATTTTAAAATGTGTTACCTTCTTCAGTTAACGTTTTGGACCAAATACAATGCATTCGGTTTGCCCAGGTGTAAAGATAGCTTATTGTCAACAAGACTTTAATCATTTCCTCTAGATAACTTCTGTGTCCTTATGAGAAAATATAATAGTGCTGTCGTTTGTATAAAGCACGAGTTTGCAGTCTGACTTGATACTTATAGATATTTCGTAGTAATATACTCTCTGTCCCATCGTTTGGCGTTAACATATGTATAACTGATACGATGTGCCTGTATCTCAACTCAAAAGCGACATGTTTCGAGGGTACAAGAAAAGTCGCCTGATCTGTAAATTTACCGATTGTATGATAATACCTATTTTGACATTTTGACATTGTGAATTCACATAGCAGATCATGCATGCAAATCAGGAGATTCATACCCGCTCCAGCTCCGTTTGAAGATCATGTGACTTCTTCAGGTTATGTTTTTTTTTATTCGTACATTCTTTGTTTATTTACGAGATTTGAACATCGGTTTACTGCCTCTAAATTCAAATATTTGAACGTTTTGATGACTACTAAGGTCTTCTGACAATCTAAATAAGTCATTAGGTTCATAATACTAATTAAATAGATTTATTAAACATACATTGTACTATGTGAATTTTTAGTTCAGGGGAAGTGGCTATATATATATATATAGCATTTGATTTCTTTGTTCTTTCTTTGATGATATTCTGTATTGTATCCTGTTTTTTAATTGGACCTTTGTTGGTATACGTCAAAGAGAGAGGCGAACGATATCAAAGGGACATTCAAACTCATAAGCCGTAAATAAACTGACAACGCCATTGCTAAAAAGAAAAAAGACCAACAGACAAACAGACAAACAGACAAACAACAGTACACATAACACAACATAGAAAACTAAAGACTGAGACGGAGATAGGAAGTTATCATTGAGTTTAACATATTTCTTATGACGATGGATTGCCTTCTTTTTGACGAAATCCTCACATATCTTTTATATTTATTATTAAGTTTCGTTATATTCATCAAATGAATAATGGTTGTTATTTTTTTTAATTCAACTGAAAGAGCATTAACTGTTCATCTATGATACGAATATTTAATTTGATATAATGTAAAATATTATTAGGTTGTCTTACGTATCGTAACTTGACCATCATTGTCTAGTACATTAGCAAAATGAAAGTATCTTAGTCTCAAACACAGAGACACTTTAATTTCCCACCCCACAAAAACATGGGAAATACTTGCAAATAGTTCACAGTTTCCATCTCAAATACAATATTTGATTTTTCAAATGAGGGGTGGGGGCAATCAAATACCGAAATAAAAACGAAAAACAACAACATGGTTAAATGTTAACTAAGATAAAGCTGTGTGTTCACCTTCACGTGCTATCTTCTTTGGTGGATGGTTGACTTGCTTGCATTGATACCAAAATTTTACTATTCTGTATTTAAAATTTACAAAATTTGATAGAAAACTTTGATATTTGAAAACTAAAACCGTAGATGAACTCACCAGGCTGTTTTATGCGTAGCATTTAATGTGTTCAAGGAAAATCTCAACAGGAAAAAAAGAATCACATACTTATATCAAAGTATTGTATTATTGTCATTCAAAAGCAATTCTAAAAAGTTATCAAAATGACGGTGTGTGTTTTTTTTTTTTTTTTTTTTTTTTTAATTTCTTATTTGAACCTTTGATTTACATATTGTTTTTCTGGCATACGAATCGAAAGAAAATCAAAACATCTGAACTAAATCACAAAGGGGATGCCTTTCAACATTTTTTAATGTAACTGTCTCAGGTTAGGAGGCGCCCGAAAACATGTTTAACCCTGCTACATTCTGTTAATGCCTGTCCCAAGTCAAGAGCCTATGATTCAGTTGTTGTCGTTAGTTGCTTTATATTAGATTTGCATTTCGTTTATTATTTTGTACATAAATCAGTCCGTTATTTTTCTCGTTTTAATTGTTTTACATTTGTCATTTCGGGTCCTTTTATAGCTTCCTATGCGGTATGGGTTTTGTTCATTTTTGTTTAGTTGTTTACTTCTACGTCATTATGTTTTCTGGTGGATAGTTGTCTTATTGGCAATCAAACCACATCTTCTTGTTTTTATATTTGTTATTGTCTTATCCTCCGCGAACTTTTTTCTTCTTTTTTCCAACATTGCTTTTCAAGCATTTGTACACAATGGTTCCTATCGATTTTTCTGAGAATTTACCTAGAAATGCGCATCTAAGTCAACCTAAACTATACGCTGTATTTTATTTATTAAGGTAAGAAGAAAATTTGAATGGAACATAGATTGGGTGGGGGGGGGGGGGTTGTAAAATACACAATTCATATTTTTTTTTGATGAGTGAGATTCGTTCTCGACAAGCTAACATTATCACATATACTCAGTACAATTATACCCAAAAAAAACAAAAAAAACAAAAACAAAAAATACAAGGAAAAATTCTGAAGTAATAAAAAAAATAAAGTTGGAGAAATTAAGATAAAGCTAGTCAAGTCAATTCCTTCGTCAGAAAACACAACGATATTTTTAGTTTGGACTTCGTGGTTTTTTTAGCTGCATATTGCATGAATTGATATAAAAATTAAGTACCATTGTTTATTTATTTTTTGGTAATGCCGTTATCATATATTTCATAGAGACTAACAGAGCTGGATCCAGAGCCAATAACATAAACTAATCCCGTTCTATCCGGTAATGCGCTTTCATCCACATATCTGAAATATTGATAAAGAAAAATATTAACATCAATTATTTATCTATTTAAATTGTGATATTTACAGTCTTAATCAGAAAATGCAAAACAAAACCAAAGACAATATTGACACCCGTATTAATATACTAGCCAACAAAAGAAACGATACAAGGCAATGTATTTTCCATATATAATGAAATTGGATACACTGCACCAAGGTAAATAATTGCCCAATTGGTCTAATATTTACAGAGTGTTATTTTCTTATCAACACCATCCCATACCATTGATTTAAGGCAAATACGCGATTTTTTTTTGGGGCAACCTTTGTTATTCAAAAATCGTATTTTCACCCAAAAATTCAAAAATCGATATTAGAACTTAAAACTTTAGACTTAAACATGGTCCGCTTAAAATGTTGAATGCCTTTGCAGATATTTGAATACTTTATTCTCATCTTCGAAATTAAGTTCCGACTTTTGTCATCATTTTCCGCAAAAAAATATTTGACCCCTGTGTTCAATAACACGGTATTTTCTCACTTTCCAATTCGGTCAGATTCTTTTAATCATATGCATTTGCTTTGCAAATGAATGTTTTTCATTAGATAATTAAACAGTTTTTCCTTTTTATTATATTTTATGATACATTGGAGTTCAAACTTGTGTATCGTTACTTATGTTGACTAGTATATGATAAATTTGGTGTTCTCTTCATTACGATATACTTGTCACCATGTACACTTTATTCGATATTGATTATGCTCAATGAACAGTTAATTTGTTGGGCACTTTTTGCCGATTCTTACGTTTTTCTAGTGTTTTAACTGTTGTTTGTCGTTTTGTCTCTTTCTTTTGGCAATGTGATAATTTTCTTTCATGGACTTATGATTATCTACCGTGTTGGAAACATTTTACTTTTTTTTCAGTAGACATTTCCTAGACTAAAATAAACAAACATTTACCCTATGTCCGAGATCAGACAATCCCCAGTAGAGTTGTTCTGGTATAACAGGTTCCATGCTTGATTTGTTCCTCCTCTTCGGTGTACGGATTGGAATGATAGAGCTGTGCCAATAACATTGAACACGTATATCATCCCTGATCTTGATGCTGTGACTATCAGTGGAGCTCCACTATGTGTACCGAAGGCAACAGCTGTAGGTTCAACGCCCTTTAAAATATTTATTCATATTCTATATTGCCGAATAATATACAAATGTAAATACTTTACTAAATAGTAAAAATTATAATGAAAATACCGAACTTGAAGGTAAATTCAAAACGGGGAAGTCCACAAAAGCTGACAAAATCAAACGTTAGACTTTATCAACCAACGGAACAAATGGCAACCAGCTTTCATTTTTCGAAGAAAGTGGTGGGTTAAGCCTGGCAAAAGTGCATACTTTGCTATAAATGTCTTCTTCTTTCTAAATATAGCGATCCTTTACTTGTCCATTCTCAAAACACATATCTATCATGTCATTTGGATAACATGTCGACGTTAATTTTCTGCTTAAATAATCATCAAGGATACCAGACTTACAATTTTGTATGCCAGACGCGTGTTTCGTCTAAAACAACTCATCAGTGATGTCCGAAAAAAAAATAAAAAAATAATCATAACGCAGGAAGATGAAGAGCATTGAACATGTTGAGGACCCAAAATTTCGAAAGATTTTGCCGAATACAACTAAGGTAATAAACGGATTAGATCGACTGATTTAAATAAAAGGGTTCCATATTCGTATATATAACACACCAACTATATTGAAGTGACTGCATGGTAAGTATGATTATCATTATCGACTGACAAATATAGATGATCTACAAGGTTCTACATGCCACCATACATCGTGTATTATATTATAAATTAAACTGACGAGGAAAGGCATCGATCAACTTATGAAAGCTATATTTAGAATCACCATTTGTAATTGTAATTTGGTTTTGGTTAAGAATTTCATTTTCATTTAATTTAATTTTTTTAACAAGCCTAACAAGCCTAACGAAATAGCAGTTTTGAGCCATCTTTAAACGTTATATCTTTCTCTAAGTCAAAGTTAAATTATAAGCCTGGTATCTTTGGTGATTTTAAATGGCCAAAATAAAATGTTCCAATAACGGTAATATTGATATCAAGACACCACAAGTCATTTATCATGGTATAAGCAAAATTCGTCTAAAATCTGTGTATCATTCCACGTATCTACGCGGTCAACGAATCTGGTTTCTCTCCGTTTGGAGTTGTTCGTATGATTCTCTTCGTTTTTTTTTCTCTTGGTTGGTTTGTAACAAACGGGTTGACAAGTTTAGATCATCGATAAGCTTCTGTTTTCTATTACTTACATAGTCATCCGATCTGAGATCCATTTCGCCAGCTGGTGATAGATTGATATTTTCACAGTCACCGTTAAATGTGGAAGAATATTTGTTGATAGCCTCTCTTTCCATGTCATCGCCGGTATCATATACACGCTGAAAAGTGGCAGTATTCCACATTGAAACACTGCGACTGCCATATGCATGAATGTACTGTATAAGGCCCTGGCTGTTTAGACCATCCATTCCACTTACATGTAAACGACCTGAAGAAAAGCGTATTACTAAATATGATTTGTATTCTTATATGACAAAATCCATGGAATACATACTTTCAATAGTATTGTTACTTGTATTATATGGTAGTTAATATCATATAGCAAATGTTTTTACAAGACACCTTATTTGGAATCATGTATCCTCATATACCCTTGGACAAAAGAAACACAAGTTTTATAGTCAAAAATATAATAATACGGTTTAAAAATAAAAACTGGTAGTTATCATCACAAAGTTGTTTTTTTTATCTTTTCTGGTTGTTTTTTTTTTGCTATTTTTTGCCATGGTGTTGTCTTTCTGTTGGACTAATGATTTTTTAAAGCCCTCTTTTATTCTTTTTCAAATCGTTCAGTAATAAGAGACATTTTATTAACAATGAAACAAACTTCGTTCATTTGAAATTATGGACGTCACTTTTATCGATGCATGTCGAAAAAGTACACATTAAGTTGCAGAATTTGATTCAGTATATATTTCCCCAAATTTTTTTCTTTTAGCCCTGAGTATCCGAGTAATGAAGTTGTTTACAAATCAATATGACAGGAAAATTATTACATGACTAATATGTATAAAGTTGGGTATATTGTACAATTTCTGGCCATAACACTAAAAGGTACATTGTACAAAGTCTACCAGTTTGCCCGCAAAAAAACAGCCTTTTACCAAGTCAGGAATATGACAGTTGTATTTCCATCGTTTGATGTGTTTGAGGAGGGACGAAAGATACCAGAGGGACAGTCAAACTCACAGATCGAAAACAAACTGACAACGCCATGGCCAAAAATAAAAAGACAAACAGACAAATAATAGTACAGATGACACAATATAGAAAACTAAAGACTAAGCAACACGAACCCCACCAAAAACTGGGGGTTATCTCAGGTGCTCCGGAAGGGTAAGCAGATCCTGCTCCACATGTGGCACCCGTCGTGTTGCTTATGTTATTACAAATCCGGTAAATAGTCTAATTCGGTAGGTCTCATTCGTGAAAAGGGAAGGGTATTTGATTTTTGAGCTTTTGATTTTGCCATTTGATAAATGAATATCCGATTTGAATTTTCCTTGGAGTTCGGTATTTTTGTTATTTTACTTTTATATCATATTTTAAGAACAGAGGTTAAACACTAATCCACCATCATCATCGCTGACCTGTTCCTTTTTGGCATCTGGCAGACTTTCCTTTAATTTCAAATTTAACGTAGCTATATTCCAGCAGTATATGTATATTAAGATATGAAGTGTGTATATCCCTGGTAAAAGGTAATCAAGGGCTTGCGGTACATATAATGATTTCCTTCCCTTTTTTCCTACAGAAAAGTTGTTGATCGAAAAATTCTTTATGGTAAAGTTGAAAAGTCTTGAAAAATATGATAGTTGATACGTAATTCCTCAGACTGAATTTCCTATTTAGATATCCATGATTAATTGCACTGCTGGTTACATTATGGGAGCTGCTTAGATAAGGTTGAAATCAATTTCATGGAAAAGTTGCCACCATTATTGTGTTATCCGTTAACAAATATCTGTGTTTAATTTGACCAAGGTGGTTGTTTTATTTGTCGAAGATACAATCCTGTCCTTCTTTTCTCGTTCTTTCTTGAAAAATGATTTTGACTCATAGCCAGATTTTAAATCATTAATATGAATAGCAACGCGATGAATAATGTATCGTAAGTCATGCATTTGAGAAAGCCAGTTTCGCACTAATGCTTTTTAAACGATATTTGAACACACTTTGACGGTTTTTTTTTCTTTCTGTTGACACCAAAACACGATTATGTCCTTTTTATATGACTTCATTATTCGTGATTGCTTTTTTCATGCACAAATTAGCGATACAACAAGGAAGTTATGAAAATTATTGAATTTCAATCACACAAGTCCTGAGAAAACCCGAAAAAAAACCAATGAATAAAACTGGGTTTGAAAGGTTAAAAACGTCAGCACTGGTAAATGAACTTCAGTCATAAACGGTTTTATCTGAGCATCATCTGAAAATTCTACAAATCAAAACGTTCAGTCTTGTTAAGAGTTTATATTATTTATTAAATATTTTTATTTTTTCAATACAAAGCTGTTTAGGCTTTTCCCTAACAGTCATTTTAGGACTGGTCAGAAGCTTTTCAGACAGTACAGTATGGTGTTGTTTTGTGCAGTTAAATAACAACTACTGAACAGTCTGGACGTCAACTAGACATATCTACTTTGACTGCAAGCATATTGTCTGAACAATTTGCCGCAGTGGATAAGTCTTAAAATCGACTTAAAATCTGATCATGACTGAGTATAATTTATTGTTCAGTCCTTTAAGAGCTATTTAGATAAAACAAAATACCGTTCAAAATAAGTTAACAATGAAAAAATTAAAACTTACGCAGCAATTTTCTTTTTCAGTTTTTTTTTTATCTTTGCATGTAACAAAAAAATATCTAAAAGATGGAAAATTTATATAAATAAAGCTTTCTTTTTTACCTAAATCAGCATCGTTGTTTATCTTTGCTTTATTATCAGCTCCTACTAAAACTTCATCAATTGCACCATCTGTCATAATAATATATTTCTTCATTATTAGTTTTATATTCTTTCTATGTTTTATTTTGTTTTTGTTCTACGATTAAATTTGTTTTAGACTTTTTTATACATTGAGACAATCCGAAATCTGTCAAATCATTTAGAAAAAAGCGAAATAATTTTGTAAAGTAGCTCAAATCATGTTAACCAAAAATAAAGCTGTAATAACTGTTTGATGTGGTAATTTAACATCTATCCGACAAATGCATCTTGTTTCCTTTGCATTATCCTTGCATAATCTCTATACAGGATATGCATATAAGTAGCACACTTCTAATGCGAGAGCATTGTTTGCTTTCGAATTAAAACAAACTTTCCTTTCTTCAATGAAACCTGCATGTATATATATATATATATTGATCAACAAATGCGAAATTTTACATCCATAATAAATGAAAAAAAGAAATTGTTTATACTAAAAAGTACATAGAGTCAAAGTGTAAAGATTATAACATTTTGCTGTACTGGAGAATAAAACAATATGATTATCTTTTATATGATCAAAGGTCAGGTTTCATATGAAAAGTGATAGTTACGACAACAGAGGTCAAAATCAGATCTGTCCTTAGGTCTGGCCAGGTTAGAACAGCACCTATCTGTATATGCTTATAGAATTTAAACACACATTAGAATAACATGTTCTAACAACGATCATCAGCGTATTCTTCACACGTTTTTTTTAATAGCATCTTCAACAGGATACAATGATAATTCAGTGAATATGGCATGCTTATTTTTTCGAAAACAAAGTAAACTTGTATTCTTTTTCCCCAAAACCGTTGTCTAAAGATTGCTTGAGATATTGATTGATTTTTCAGCGAATACGAACACTGATACAAAATATCAATATGTAGCCTACATTGGATGAAGTTCATTTCAATTGTCCATTACTTACTATTATGGAGAGTCCTTGCTCTTGCAGCATCTGTGAAATCAAAGCCTTCGTTTTGCTGAGTTAATTTTTTAATAGCACCAGTGTTTGCAGTGAATAAATATGATTGGCCGTTGACAACTCCAATTTTTATATCACGTGGTTGGTAAAAGGAGAATATATGATGACGTTTCAGATTTGGACCTTAAAATTAAACTAGAGGCTCTAAAGAGCCTGTGTCGCTCACCTGCATCTTCAACAATGGCCATTTTTTAAGTAAAAATCAGTATCAAAGGGGAACAACTCTATTAAGAGTTAACTGAAAATTTCAGTAATACTGACATATTTGTAGATCTTATCCTGCTGGTAAGCTTTCCGTTTCAAAGTTTTTATTAACCTATTATATTTTTCAAGATAATAGGCAAAAAAAGCCAAAAAAATTGTAAAAAATTATCATTAAAGGGCAATTACTCCAAAACGAGTCTACTAAAGATTTCGGCCGTTTTGGCTCATTTGTAGATCTTGTTTTGCTCATCATGTGTGCTATTTTTAGTTTCTATCTATCTATAACAGATTTCAATATGATAGGAAAATCGTCATTAAAGGGCAATAATTTCAATAAGGTTTCGACTAACGATTTTGGTCATGTTGACATATTTGTAGATCTTGTCTTGTTGATCAATTTTGCTTAGTGTTGTTTCTATCTATCTATTATAGTTTTTAAGATATAAGACAAAAACGCCAAAAATTGGTAAAAATCGTCATTGAAGGGCAATTACTCGAATAAGGCTGACAATTTTGGTCATTTGAATTATTTGTAGATCTTATCTTGCTGTTCATTTTTGCCTTTTAAAGTTTCTGTCTATCTATTATAATTCTCGAGATAATAGCAAAAAAGTTTTTAAAATGGGAAAATTCGTCATTTAAGGACGTCTGACTTTTTCGATGCAAATAGACAATAGGTAGAGCTCAACATTTCGAATATTTTTGCTCTTGTCAGAATGTCTCTATTTATAGCGGTTTTCAAAATAATAGGCATAGATACTCCAATGACGATTGTGGCCAAGTTTGGTTATATGTGGCCCATTTGTTTCAGAGGAGAAGATTTTTGTAAAAGTTAATGAAGACGACGGACAACGGACGCCAAGTGATGAGAAAAGGTCTTTTGGCCTTTCGGCCAGGTGAGCTAAAAAGAGAAAAGCACATTAAATCGATACAATTCCATCTGTGGTGGAATTCTTGCAGTAGTAATTTCACTGATTTTATTACACATAATTTGAATACATTTATGACGAACAAGGAGACGAAAAGAAACACGTTAATCAAAGTTATCAATGACCATCGTCATTGTGAATAACAACATTAAAAACTAGCATACAGCTTTCAAAAAAATTCATACAATACAACACGCTAAATCGGCCGAAACTGGATGCGTTGTGAATGAGTCCAGTAGAAATAGCCTAAGATCGGACAACCACCAACAATATATCTGATCGAAATCATTAAATAATTTTTTCAAGTTTCAACATCGAATTCTATTGTAAATCTAAAATTTTGAAGTACTTTGCTATTATGTTGTACATATAAGGCATTATGTAATAATTTGTAGTAATATGTCATTATGTTATATTTTGAAGTAACAAAGAAAATATCATATTTGTAAGACTAAAAAGTATGTATACTGCGAAGCCACTGTGATATGAATGTATAATCGCTATGGAATACATGTATATGTTACAGTAAATGTGAATGATAAGGAATTATGTATATTCCTGAAATATTCAGGGTGTGCGTAATCACTGGTCACTTTAATGATAATCACTAAAATTTTCAGGAATAATGCAAAAAAAAGCCATCACCACTAGAAAAGGTGTCGGGGATTATATATAATAACTGGAATGAAGGGACAATGAATAAAAGTTATATAATTTATTCTATGAAATCATATTTAAACAGCATTATCTTTAGAAACTCTAATACAAATCATTTATTATTTCAAACTGCGTTGTAAATTTGGATGACATCTACTATTGCACATTTACCAATCAACCATTTTAATTCTCTTCTTTTCGTTTTTTTTTCCAACAGCATCCATTTTAAAAAGAAACATTGTCATTCAAATATTGAATCATGATTTAACCTCACGTTGAAGTGAAAAAACAGTGTGCATTATGAACATCTGACGGTTAAAAAAATGAAGTTAATCAGCCTGTTTAAATTGATTTCTTTTGTAGGATCAAAGCAACATGTATTGTTTCGTAGCCAGGTAATATCCTTTTCAGTCCTTTCATGAATAAAGACCATTATATTTTTTGGGTCTCCCTTTGCGCGATCAACATGCTGAATCGGTATCAAAACATTACAGCCAATATTTGCCTCCTTTAAAATTGTGTTCAATCTGCAAAGCATACGTTCTGTCTTTTTTCCAATACGTTTAGTTGCATTAGTTTGCTAAGTTTTAAGTTAAATTCCTTGTTCATTGGAACATAGAAAACTTAAAACAGATGTTCAATAACCTTCATCGCCATTTCTTTTGCAGCAAAGCATACATGCACTGTGCATTTACATTCAGAACATTAATGTGCAATTGACGCTATTTTGGGCAAACAATAAATTCATGTCATACATATGCAAATATCACTATCATTGAGAATGTTGGTATTATTAATTTCAATTTCAAATACTTTTTTGTTTATGAGTTCACGTGCTTCAACACAGTTTAATATCACTGGAAAAAAACATAAATGCATTTTATAATTCAAATTAGATTTGATGAATTGACAGGGAATGCAAATTGTCCACTTAAACCTTTAAAAAGTAAGAAACAAAGATGATTCATTTGTCTTCATTTGATTTTTTTTTTAAACAAATGATCTTTGTATTATTGTTTTATTGATTATCCCTGAAATAATATCATGGAATTTGTAAAATAATTCTTAAAGATTTCAGTGATTAGGTAAAATCACTGGTCATTTTCAGAGATTATATAATGATTTTAGTGATTATTCAAAATCCCTGAAAAATCAGGGATTCTACATAATCCCTGATTATACAAATTCACTGTAACATATATACTGTAATCAAGGAGAGAAATGTGGTAGAACCAAGAACCGAATTCCCCCGGTATTTGTTTCACCTATAAGGTCAAAATCAGACATACTAGAACATTAAAGAATCTGCATAACATACAATAAAGTATTTGCATAGTGATACAAAAAAAGCAAAAGGTAAACCATCATGTATATAAGGACAATTTTGATACACAAATGCAAATTTCACTTTCGTAAAATTTTGAAGCGATAGGCATCTCTATATAAAATGAATTATTTGTATCAGCGATACAATACAAGTGATTGGTTTTAATGCCAATAATAACTGAGGTTTGTTTAAGAATGTTCTCTTTATACATTATTTGGGTAGAACTCGAAATGTGTCAAAATGTATTCAAGTTGCAGTTTTAAGCTCCATGTATCTTTAGGCAATTATACATTGGTGTCGTTTTAATACTTTTTTCTCCCCGGTTACAAAGCGTCGTGTCAAACATGTCAAAATTAACTTTTTTTGGATCAGAATGCCACAATATCGACAAAACAGTAAATTACCCGAAGACGTGGTTTGAGTTATAATTTTAAGGTTTACATTGTTTTAAGCATCACCACACTTCATAGCTTTTTAGGACAGATAATTAGATACCAATCACGCTTTATGTAATTATGTATCATCAGATGCATAGGGTCATAACATTATAGAAAATTCATGACGAGCCTACAGTTATTTCAATAAGAAGAATTTGATAAAAATTACCTCCGTCTCTGTCACTAGCGTCCATGTCGAAATTCGTCCAGTTTTTGACACCAAGTGCATATATCTCTATAATCCTGTTTTGTGTGATATCAAACTTGACCACGGCATTATTTTCCTATAACACATGACGACATCTATCAACATGAATTCATGAAACACCCTGCTTTAGAAATCAAGAAAATATATGCTTTTCTTCAGTAAGTAAGATTGTGGTAGAATTGTATTTATTCTACAATAAAGGGTTCATACCATATCCTCAATTAAACTGTAAACGTGCCAATCGTTATTTATTTCTTGAAATTTTAGATTATGAGTAAACTCAAGCGATCAATTGCTTTAGAACTAAAATTCACAATTACGGTTTTAAATAATATTTTTTTTTCTCAACGTTATAAATTGGTCGAATTTGTAAACCATATAAATTAATCTCATTTAAAGAAAGAATCGTTCAGCTTAAATGACATTGTTCTTCAATGTCTTGACGAAGTTTGAAATTGTGCAACCAACTTATTTTTTCGAAGTCTAAATGATGTTTCAACGTTCCGAAATCGTACAAAAGAGTTCTTTGCAAAAGACGGAATTATATTCACGATCAACATGAGAACTTTCGTCAAAAAGAGATACAATATACTAGGTTGGTTGATGATGACTGGTAAATAACTGCTTTTAAAACGTCCAGCGGCTCATGCGTATTCAGAATGATTGATTGATATACCGATATGTTGCTTTCTTATAGACCGACACGCTGAGTTAAATTCTTAACTCGCAGTTACTGAAAGCTAGTTCAGAGACAATAACAACTAATAAATAAATCATGTTATCCCAGACTAAAGTATCAACCAGTACTAATCCAACGTATTTCGTATAAAGACGTCATGACCAGTTTGAGAAAAGCATAACCTTTTTTGCGCAAGGTCAAAATATAAGTTCGTAATATCGACAGTAATGTTTTGTTGTTCATCACTCTACCAGTTTAAGGGAGAGTTGAGTGCTCACAAACATATTTAACCTAGCCAATTTCTTTGTGTACCTTCCAAAGTATTTAAAGAAAGGGGCATGTAGTCAAGTGGTTGTCGTTGATTGCTGATGTCATACTTGTTTTTCGATTTAATGCTGAAGTAAAATTCAACCCGTTGTTCTTTTTTCTTTTTAATTGTTTCACATTTTTGACACCTAAGGGCCTTTCGTAGTTTACTTTACGATATCGGTTTTGTTCATCGGTGAAGGCCGTATGGCGACCTGTAATTGTAATCATCTTTGTCATGAACTTTTTGGTGATAGTAGTATTATTGGCATTCATACCACAACTGCCTAATTTTATATAATTGTCTTTTTTAGATACTCCCTTATGGAGGTTTTCAGTGAAGTGCAAAATGATCTCTTAAAACTTCAAAGAAATCATAGAATGATAAATGATGATGCATATGACTTTTTTTTTGTCCATTGACGAATTCATAAAACATGGTAAATATGAATTTGCTAACCCTTAGAATTGGAATTGAAAGTAACGCTTTTCGATAAATTCTACCTTAAATATGAATTGTTTTTCAATGAGGTAAAATCGACATTTAATTATTACTTTAGCAGAACAAGATGGTAACAGTAGAAAAGTAAATAAGGAAGCTTGCTAAAGAGCAAACATAATGATTGCTTTTGTAGTTTGTATTACACAACTCTCTAACAAACCCCATATAACCTTACTGCAATATGACAACAAATATGTCAAAATGTAAAAATGATAGTCGTAGCTACATACTTGAAGAGATATATATGCATATCGATCGTCTTGATCGATAGCGACAGATTCTGGTTCTAAATCTTTAGAAAATGTAGTTTCTACGTTGGCACTTTGGTCACCTCGGAATATGTAACGGACTCCGTTTCTAATATATTCGTTCACTCTGTAAATATAACTGTTCTATATAACATGTTTTATCGAAGACATTGGTGTCTTAAGCTTTAAGATACGATCTCAATAATTATGCAACTTAAGTGATGAGGCATATCGATTTCAAAACAAAATTTTCTAAATAAACATACATGCAAGCAAAACTTATTCCTTTTAAGTATGAAATAGTGTTTCGTACAAGCGACACCATATGTTTGCAATGACATAATTGATTGTATAGGTATTTTATCTAGTCCTTCCAGTAGCTCGGTGAATGTGATGAACATTTTAATCTCTTCTCATTGACGTAGACGCAGTTATGGTCATCGTCATTATACATGTTATACATCCCCTACTCTTCATGGTGTCTTCTGCCATTCATACAAAAGCCTTTAGGTATTCATTACATTTGTACGAAGCTTTATTAAAAACCCCTTCATAACTTTATTCTCTTTACAACTTATTTTTGAAACCACTGTTACAAACCCCCATTGATACAAATACAAACTTACAGCTATAAACTCGGATATTGCCAGTCACAAACTTTTCAGACCAGTTCGCATTATGAAAAGGATAAAAGATCCTTTCTAAAACCTTCCTTTGCCAACAAAGATCTCGATGCCATCAACTTGGGCAATATCCTGTATCATAAATCAGTTCACTCGAAAATACCTCCCGTATTTAAAGATCAGACTGTACCTGTCATTTCTTATACATTCCAGCAACGCTTGCATACGGAATATATATCTCCCAGTTGATACGATATTCCAGGGCTTGTATTTACTATCATGATTTCCTTGATAGAGGGTTGCTTCTCACAAGAAAGTTATTAATCCAAGAGTTCCATGTGGTGAAGTTGAAGTCATCCCTTCGTAAATTTTACGGACGCCACCACGAGTTGGTTGACCGTTATGGAATATCCGTTTCACATATAATAGCGGATATGTTCCAATTGTCGTAACTACAATCCCGTCCCCCTTTCCCCGAATGTAACCTACCGAATTAGACTTATTACCGGGTTTGTACTAACATGAGCAATACGACGGGTGCCACATGTTGAGCAGGATCTGCATACCTTTCCGGAGCACCTGAGATCACCCCCAGTTATTGGTGGGGTTCGTGTTGCTCAATCTTTCTATGTTGTGTTTTTGTGTACTGTTGTTTGTCTGTAAGTCATTTTCTTTTTTTAGCCATGGCGTTGTCAGTTTATTTTTAACTTATGAGTGTGAATGTCCCTTTGGTATCTTTTGCCTCTCTTTTATACCTAAACCAAACCAATTACATGTACAACTAAAATTTTCAATTGAAAACCCGTGTTTCAGGATCTCAATATTGAGGACTTCAAGTTTTTCGTTTCTGCCATGGTTTTGTCATTTCATTTTCGACTTATTAATTTGAATGTCCCTTTGGTATCTTTCGCCTCTCTTCTATAGTAAGAATAGGTCTCAACGTAAATGCGTGTTTAATTTTGCTAACGAACTAATTAGCTCATAACATCTTAGTTTTACCAGTACAGTAGAGAATGCTGACCCTTCCGGAGCACCCGAGTTCACCTACCGAATTAGACTTACTACCGGGTTTGTACTAACATGAGCAACACGACGGGTGCCACATGTTGAGCAGGATCTGCATACCTTTCCGGAGCACCTGAGATCACCCCCAGTTATTGGTGGGGTTCGTGTTGCTCAATCTTTAGTTTTCTATGTTGTGTTTTTGTGTACTGTTGTTTGTCTGTAAGTCATTTTCTTTTTTTAGCCATGGCGTTGTCAGTTTATTTTTAACTTATGAGTTTGAATGTCCCTTTGGTATCTTTTGCCTCTCTTTTATACCTAAACCAAACCAATTACATGTACAACTAAAATTTTCAATTGAAAACACGTGTTTCAGGATCTCAATATTGAGGACTTCAAGTTTTTCGTTTCTGCCATGGTTTTGTCATTTCATTTTCGACTTATTAATTTGAATGTCACTTTGGTATCTTTCGCCTCTCTTCTATAGTAAGAATAGGTCTCAACGTTAATGCGTGTTTAATTTTGCTAACGAACTAATTAGCTCAAACCATCGTAGTTTTACCAGTACAGTAGAGAATGCTGACCCTTCCGGAGCACCCGAGTTCACCCCTTGTTTTAGTTGTTCGTGTAACTTGACCTTTTGTTTTATGTGTGATATTTGAGGAAGGGTACGTGTAGTTGTTTATCGCATTTTTTTTTAGAAAGTGAGTTTGGATATCATACCCCCGTAAGACTGCTGGTGGTATCAACTATGGTAATTTTGTATTTAGATATCTAATGTTTCAATTAATGCTAATGATTTTAACGCCCTAAAAGAGCACAGGAGCGAAGTTTCAAATTAACCATATCTCTCAGTGAGACAACACCACAGATTACAGGAACATAATCTAAATGACTTCAATCGCATAACGGTTCAAGTGTTTGAACAGATTAATCACCTGAACCATGGTCCAGATCAGGAAAGATTACAAACAATTTTTAGAAACAATTCGTTTCATCGTTTTCTTTGAATAAAGACCAAAGATTTTGACATTTCAAGTGATCCATTGGTTAAACGTTTCTAATAAAGCATTGCGCTGCACTGTATGGTGATATTCCCTCTGATAAAGTTTGATTAATATTTTTTTAACATGCAAAAAAGTACTATTTTAAAGGCTTTGTTTCAGAATATGTAACCAACAGTATATAAGAAACTCCAAGCTAGACACTTGCTGCTACTTGTAATAATCACTAAGGAGATTTTAGAATTTTAGAAATTGTTCCCAAGAATGTCACTTACCTATCAGGTCAGTTTTGTGTTTGGATGGAAGTATGGATATTTTAATCACAAATTGGTAGGGCAATATCTGTAAAATTGATTTGAAACAATCATAATAATCTTCAAGTACATCTTTGATATCCTTGACGGGTTGACGGTACTTTTTGTTGTTAGTTCTTGTTTGTTACAACTGCTCGTCAACATTTAATTCAAGAAAGCTGGCAATAAAAAACGAGTCAATGAAAGACATACAACACTGTGACTAAAAGAAAAGGAAATACCAGACGGCCGACAGGTAACGAAAAAATCAAGTTGAATGGATTCCATAAATGTTTGACCTAAAGCAATTTTTGACTATGTCTGTCTTAACACGCTTCTGGTGCATTGAAATAAGTACAGTATAATTTTATAACTTTGAATATGGTTGATATCATTTTTTGATCAAACGATGACGTTAGTTTGTATGACCGTTGGCCAAGATAACTACAAGTAGAATAAAAGCATTTTAGAAAATCAATGTCAATTTGTCTTTCAGAGGGAAATCCAATCGCACGCCATCCTAACAACGTAATTATGTTCAATAGTGGGTACCTTAGCAAGTAAAGTGATTTATATATATAGATTGCCGATTTTAAAAGCATAGAATCTTACCTATCGTTAAAACTATCAAAGTTAGTATTAACTTCTGGCGGAAATCCTTGATCGTTTTTTATGATAACAGAGATTGAACCTCGTGGATCTTCAAACGTATTGTGGAGTAATCCTGGTTTGCCTTCATTTGCTACAATTAACCTGGAACAGTCAGATGTAAATGCCATGTCCTTTGGTGTATGTCCGGCTGAAATGTTTGAGTATGAGCCAGTTGTAAATGCATTCAGTTGTTTACTTAACTTAGAAAATGAGACATGGAAGGATGTAATTTGCGACATATAAAGCCTGATACAGTTACTTCTTGATTTCAATATAAAATAGATTAAATATGAGGTAAAACATGCTTTTATATACTTGGAGAGCCTGTGAAATTCTTAGTCACCAATGCAAGAAGATCAAGACGCAAATATCAATTCTTATAAATAGGATCTAAAAAATGCACAAAATGTACTACTTTTTCGAAATATTAACACTTCCAAGAAAACAACCATTTGAAATGTATGTTTTAGTGATGAAAGACAAGTTTGTATGATTTTTAAAAAAGTTAATGCAATACCTGGAACACGCCCAATTTTTGTTAATTGGGAGTCAAAATGTGTGAAGGGAAGGAATAGTTCTACATGTCCATGAGCGGTCACTGTGTTACTGCCAATGGCTACAGCAACTGTGTCTGAGCATGTCTCAACATCTGTTATTGGACCATCACCAACCGTGTTGAAATGATGAGTGAGCAAGATGGTTGGATTATCCTTATGGGTTAAGTCAATAATGTGCATCAAGTTGGTTCCGGTACCTGCAAATTAAAATAGATGAAAATAATGGTCTTAATTCTTAAACCTGACACGTTGTTTGTTATATATATATATAGATACATTAATATTCTTAATTGCCTCCAATATTACATAACAATTTAAGTGTCGTTCTTTTAATACGCAGTATATCACTTTTGGTCATATAGCTCATTGCGTTTTTAGGTATTAATTAAATATCTTTTGTTTTGAAATATTTGGGTTTGAGAGTTCCTGGTAGAACTGTATAAAGTGATGCTCTTATTATATAATGAGCTACGTCGGATAGAAGTTGACCTTATGCAAGTGTAAGTATACACGTACATGTGTAAGACTTTGATTGATTTGGAACATTCAAATACGAAATAAAAGATGAATTTTGGTCTGTTTTGTGGGGTTCTGGTATACATCAACTCAATTTTCAACAGTAACAGACAGTGGTTGTTGTTTGTTGCTGTATATCATATTTGTTTTTCGTTCATTATTTTGTACATCAATCAGGCCGTTAGTTTTCTCGTTTGAATTGTTTTACATTTGTCATTTCGGGGCCTTTTATAGCTTACTATGCGGTATGGGTTTTACTCATTGTTGAAGAAGACCGTTCGGTGACCAATAGTTGTTTACGTCTGTGTCATTTGGTCTCTTGTGGAGAGTTTAACTTGTCTCATTGGCAATCATACCACATCTTCTTATTTTTATATTTGTATAGAGATTTTGTCAACTCGAAATAGGTTAACAGATGTATTAATAATCATTTGCATAAGGTCGATTTCTATCCGATGCAGATGAATTATATAAGTTTTAACTGTTTTCATATATTTCAAAACATTTGGTTACGAGCTTACCAAATGAAAATTATACCACGAACATGTGGGCACAAAAAAAATGTTATAAAACTCTTCTTAGGCAATATGTACAACTCAGCTTGTTTGCAATGCATGTATTTGCAGCAATGTTTTCAGATACACTATATCAATCATATTATGGGAGTGATGTCGATTAAAACAATTATTAGAACCAATATTAGAGGGTCCGGATGCGTTTACAGAATAGAGAATAATGGGCAAAATGAACAGAAAATCTACACAAAAAAAAAAAAAATAAAGAATAGAAAAAAAAGCATTAGAAAATAAAGAACAGAGAAAAATATGGTAAAAAATAAAAAATAGAGAATAATGGGGTGCTTAAATATAAAGAATAGAGAATAAAGGGCAAAAATGTAAAGAATAGAGAAAAATGACCCAACAAAATAAAGAATACAGAAATGAAGGACCCACTTCCAGACCCTCATATTACATAGCTGTATGATTCAACCTTTCAGTTTCCTGGTAAAAATATGACAAACAAGACATTAGTATACGCTATCATGTTTCTTTTAAAGTGCTTGTTTTGTATTTCTTTGTTAAATATAGGCAATGATGTGAATTCCTAATTAATTGGATATCTCTGTTTTATTGCTTATTTTCTTTCTATTCTTCTACTTATGTCTCAGATGACAAGGCTGGACGAATATAAATTCCAATATCGACGCAACAAAAGTTAGAAAAGTCTTAAGGCAGTTCATAAAAAAAAGTAGATTTTATTTCATATATACTATTTGCTTTTTAAGTTATAATATGTTAGGGATATGAACAACTTACATATCCTATAATGTACTGATGGTTATAATTTCAATCTCAAACTAGCTATGAAGAGAAGGAGTTGTCTTGTCGTGAGAATCAGTGTAAATGAGGAAATTGTTGCGTTTGAAGCGCTTTTGGGGCTTAATAAACCAATATATTGAAAGCCAATGATGTATGAATACTTGAACTCTTGACGAACTATATGACCGAAATGGGACATAAAAAAACGACAAAGCTTTGCCTGATGGAGTTGGAACCTTAATTCCAATGTAATATTGAGTATTATTTTTGCATCATTTTATATATTCATTATTTTTATTTACTTGAATTACAATTGATATAATGTCATAAAGATTCAATAGATAAATGTTTTGAAATATATAATCAGTTAAAACTTATATATATACGAAGAGCATCATAACTAAAAAGAAACAACTAAACAGTTCAACCAAAATAGTAAAACGTCAGCTTTGATTGTTTAATTCCTTTTTATTTTCCTAACGTCTCTTGGCAGGTTTCAGACATATTCAGGACGTGAACAAACTAACAAGAAATACATGTACATTTGGAAAGTTCTCTATGGTAGGCCGACTTAAAAGAGGAAGGGAATTTCGATTGACACGGGAAAATGATATGGAAAAGTATATGTTGGATATAGGGTCAGACATTTTGCCTTGCAACAGACCACCAACGGACACCTCAAAGAAATGTTGCAAGGGTTATATAAAATCCAGAGAGCTTGGCTATTTCCTTACACGTCCCTATTTCGATCGGACGTGGCTGCGTATTTATACATTCCGCATATCCTAATAAATATCTTATCAGTTTTGATGGACTTATTGGAGGTTATTATAATAAAAGTCTAACTTTACGAAGTCATTCTTGTACTTTCGTTTTTTGTAGATAAATGTCTCATTGACAATCCTACCACATCTCCTTATTTTAGACAACTTAGAACATATTTTACCTACATTAACATAAAGTTCACTAAGTCTTATTCTATAAATATTCATGTGATACATGTATTTGTTTGAGCGAGACATTTCCTACTAACAGTTTATGTAAAAATAATGTGCAGCTAAGTCTATGTACTTGTACGTACTCATTTATAATAATTTCAACAAAAAAATAATCATTTATTTATTTATTTATTTATGTGTTTGGTTTTTTTTTTTTTTTTTTTTGGGGGGGGGGGGGGGGGGGAGACAAACATCACATTAATACTATACCTTGCCTTTCCCCCAAAATAATTCATACAGATACACAAGATAAATTGGAGAGATCCGTTTGCGTCCTCTTGTGCCCACAACTAATTTGCGCTACTAGTTTTAAAGATACTTAAAATCATTCGCGACAAAAATAAAGTAAATATTGCGCCAATTCATTTAAAAAAATTATTGACTGAAATTTTCCGTTGATAAATTAAGAAATGGTTAAGAAACTAAGGTTCCAACTCCCTCAGGCAAAGTTTTTGGCTATTTCTAGATCCTTTTGGTCATGTGGGCCTCAAATGGTTTCAAAAAATGTCCATTTTTGATAACTGGCAAAACAAAATACATAATATTGAGAAATAAGTAATTTAATTGTACATGTAAATACTTAAACATCAGTATAAGTTAAATACAAAATATGCAACCTTCAACTGAACGGTAAGCTTGACAACAACTCTGTAAAAGTGAACATCTTGTTTTATTAATTTTGCATTTACATTGTGTCATAGATCAAATTTATTCGTTCAGTGTTTGTTCATTTGTTTTTGTTAATATGTCTTTTGATTGAGTTAAGCCATTTCAATCAATATTTTATAGTGTGTCTTTCTATGTTGTGATGTTACACTATTGTTTCAGGTAAGATGAAGGTTGGCGCCTATTAAAACGTTTAACCCTGCTGCATTTGTTTGCACCTGTCCTAAGTCTGAAACCTGTTGTTCAGTGGTAGTCGTTTGTTGATGTGGTTCATAAGTGTTTCTCGTTTCTCCTTGTTTAAATTATAGATTAGACCGTTGGTTTTCCTGTTTGGGTGGTTTTACACTAGTCATTTTGGGGCCCTTTATAGCTTGCTGTTCGGTTTGAGCCAAGGCTCCGTGTTGAAGGCCGTACTTTGACCTATAATGGTTTACTTTTACATATTGTGACTTGGATGGAGAGTTGTCTCATTGGTACTCATACCACATCTTCTTATATCTATATATGGTGTACCAAGTAGTTCCCTTCGCAACGATTTTTTATGGCTCTACCATGCTAAAAAATTAGAACTTAAAGGTATTTTTTCTTCAAGAATCTGACAAAATAAATGATTTTATATGGTGAAACTATTTGATTTGAAATTTTAACTACCAGAAATATTTACAAATGTCCACTGTGTAACGATATATGTCCCCTATGATACGCTCTTTGTCCATTACGTCATTTTTTTTAAAAGAAATGTTTACCTCAAATTATAAAAAAACGTGGTGTTTATAAAATAAAATGTATTGTCTAAAACAATAATCATAAAAACATGCATCTGAGAAACCGCGTGTAACAACAATGGCTGCTAACATGTAAATACGTCCACTGCGCAACGGTCCACTACGCAACGTTTTCGTTGCGAAGTGGTCACAAACAGTTGAGAGGTGGACAAAACCCGTTCACCACGCAACAGGTTGTGTCCACTTCGCAACGAAAACGTCAGATACATGTTTTTATGATTATCGTCTTCGACAATACATTTTATTTCATAAACTCCACGTTTTTTATGGTTTGAGGTCAACATTTCTTTAAAAAAAGACGTTGCAAAGTGGACAGGTAAAAAAGTACGCTATCAATAGGACTTACAAATTGATTTAATGCAGACGAACAATATCATCAGCATCCATAGATGACCGCCATTTTACTATGTGAAGTTGTATTTTAATTTAGTAGCAAGTAAAAGGAAAGACCACAATTTCAATAAGTCTAGAGAATGATTATAATTTTGCCAATTGTTTCTTGTCGTTGCGAAATGGACATTTTTTAATCGACGCCATTTAAAAAATAACTAGCACAAATCTATTTGAACTTATCTAAATATTTGAATTCATTTTAAAATGTGCAGATGTAGCTCTATGGCATAACATGAAAAGGCGCAAAAAAGATTGGTAAATTGTATGAAATTTTGAAAATTTGGACGAACTTTCAAATGTGGACATACCGATTTTTTTTTTTTTTTTTTTTTTTTTAGCCCTTTGGTCGCATATTTTTAGAGAGTCCTTACCACAAAGCAGACAAACATTGCTGCTGTTGTCTATAATAAGTATAATTTATAGACTGAGACAAAAAAAATAAAAATTATATGATATAACAATTTAAGCCCTGGACAGAAAAGTGAACATTTTTTTATAAAACGCCGATATA